ACTTAAGAAGAAAATATTATATTCCTTCAAACCAGCCTTTTCTCACTCAATATGTTTTTTAAAAAAATGATCTGAAACTGGAAGGAAAAAAGAGACTTTTCTGTTTTCAAGGACTGACTAGACTTCTTCCTGTTCCCCCAAACTAACTTATAAGAAGGTAATTTGAAAATTCCATGTAGTGTTGAAGTCTCATATATAATATACAAATATTTGTGCATATAGACATACATGTATATAAGAGCACGCGCACGCACACACACACACCCCTCTCTCTCCCCAGATGCAATCTTTGCCTAAGCAAAATTCCATACCTTGTTACTCTAGTTTTTTGCTTGTTTATATATACACTCAGATGACAGGATAATTTTATAGAAGTAGAAATAGAATAGAATTCAAAAATGTTTCTTCAGTAATAGCACTGTCAAAACAGCCAGTTTCTTGATCTAATCTGTTCTTCCCCTTAGCCACTTCTTTCAAACAATAAATTGGTAATAAATCACAACAAAAATGAAGGATTCAGTACTTATTCATACTTTGTAAAAAAAAAAGTTTGCAACTGTAAAATAAAAGTTTTTTGTTCTTTGTCTATAAATACTTCATGTTCATATTAGATGTCTTGTTTATGTTTTAGAAATGAATGACTACTAAAGAGAGATAGCTTCATGGTACCATTCTAGTCAGCTACACAGAGCAGGAGACATTACAGGAAATGAAAACTTCTAACAGTTGCATATTTACATATAACTTATAGGCCTTGAAATATTTCAGTTCCCACACTAATTCCTGTCTTACCCTCGACAATATACTATAATGGGTATTCCTTTAAAACATAATAGGTCATTGTTTTCCTTTTGGTGACAATTTGTTCTATTAATAAATCTTTTAGTCAATTTGCTGGTTAGAAACATTAAGGATTAAAGAGAGTTAAGTAAAGTTTCAGCAGTATCTACTTGAAGTCAACCTGGGCTACCAAAAATCAGTTTTACACATAAACAGGAGAGGTCATCTTTCATTTTAACAAAAGTATTCCTTAAAATATCAAACTGCTCTAGCATATTTAAAAAAAAAACTTTTATACACAATATTTGAGGAAAATACCAATTGCATGAAGCAAAGCATAACTATACTTGCTAACCCATCACTTCTAATGAAAACTGCTGGGTGTCCCTTCACTAAATCTGTGAATTATAAAAATACAATACAACATAGATAATGTTCACTTGTGGTTTTCAAAATTAATAGACGGTCCACAGGTAGCTGTTTCTATTTGAGTTTGACACCACTGCTCTAAATAACTCCCTAAACCCCAAATCCTAAAGTAGTCCCAGAAAACACACTCACAAATACACACACACACACACACACAAATTCTATGGGCCATATGATAAGGACAATTAGGTAAGAAAGTACACCTAGCTTGGGTCACCATGACCTCTCCCAGCAGAGCTTCTAGCAACTGCAGCCAGAGACTTAGAAAGGAATATTTTCTAAAACAACTCTCCCCCAAAGCCACTGGACTCAAAGTTCAGACCAATGATCCCCACTCATAAAACTGATATGGATTGATAAATTTCTCAAAGCTTGTCTAACTGAATTTAGGGATTTTTGAAAAAGCAAACCGGTTTTACTTTTTCTTCAGAGGATGATAACAGAGCTATTATACACACACACCCTCTTCAACAGAATTTTCTATTAATATAAAACGGGCAGACTGAACAGGCTGGGTGACCCAGTAGCCTGTTTATCCTAGCAAAGCAAGGAGAGCTACTTAATTGTCTTGTTTATAGTGTGATGTTGCTGCCCAGCTTCCCCAGCTAAAGATTTTTTGAAAGCTACATTAAAAAGATATTATACTACTACTTTCTACTGGCTCTCCAGCTCGAAAAGAGGTTATCTAGCACATTGTTGTTCAGTCATTTCAGTCATGCCCAACTTTCCATGACCCCATTTGGGGTTTTCTTGGCAAAGATCCTGGAGCTGTTTGCCATCTCCTTCTCCGGCTCACTTTACAGATGCGAAAATTGAGGCAAACAGGGGTAAGTGATTTGCCCAAGGTCACACAGCTACTGAGTGTCTGAGGCTGTATCTGAACTCAAGATGAGTCTTCCTGATTCTAAGGCCAGTGTTCTATCCACGGGCCACCTAGCCTCTCCCTCACCTAGCTCACCCTCTCCTATCACAAGCAAGTGGAAGTGGCTCGCCTGAGTACAAAGAAGGGATTTAAATTGAGTTCTCTTAACCCTGGATATAGAACACTCATATACTATGTGATATGGCTAACAAACTAATCAAGAAGAAATTTTCTACTGGTTGATTTAGCTTGAACTTTATAAATTCTATCCATGTTGCCAAGAAGTATGGGTTGAATGTCCCATATCTCTCATCAGTATCATCCTCTTCTCCACATTCACAAGACCACCATTTTAGGCCAGGCCTTTATCATCTATCTCCTGGACCTATTAATTGCCCTTCCTGCCTCCCTTTTCCAATTCATCCTGCATTCAGCTTCCAAAGTGATATCCCTAAAACACAGTTTTAGTTGGGTCACTGCGGGCGCTAGCTGCATCTAACATGAAATAAACTCCAGTTTCAAGTCCTTAACAACTCCTCCTTCTGTAGAAGAAACAAGGAAGGTAAGGACTGTCAGGTATACTTGGATAACACAAACCATGAATTACAGAGACAATCCACTAATTTCCTCTGTTCAAAGCAAATTCCAACCATCACAGAGTACAAAATGGAGAAGTAACAATGAGGTACAGACCAATAAAAAGGGGACATTGAAATGAGGTGCATTAAAATGAAGAAACATAAATAGCCAAAGAAAAGAAGTAGAATCTGCGGTTTTCAGACATGATTTGTAACATTTCAGAATAGATTATCATATATCAACTAGAAGACATTGACAGTATCTGACACCCTGTCAAGTGTTATAGCTTCTGAGTAAGAATGGACCCTTTACTTCAATGGACACTCTCACCATTACACCAGTTCAAGGCCACAGTAATCCTTTACTATTTCATGACTTAAGAGGTAGTAAGTGTCAAGGGGCAGCTAGGTGGCGCAGTGGATAGAGCACTGGCCCTGGATTCAGGAGGACCTGAGTTCAAATCCGGCCTCAGACACATAACACTTACTAGCTGTGTGACCCTGGGCAAGTCACTTAACCCCACTGCCTAGCAAAAAAGAGATAGTGTCTCTAAGCTTACATACACACTGTATGTACAATTATGTTCCAACCAACCTGCCCACTTCTTAATCCGATATACCTCATTTCTTCTCATAAAGCTTCAGCAAAAACTGACCTACCCAGGCCTGAAATTGACTCCCTCTTCTCCCTCGCTAAGTGTCCCAGCTTTAGGGTTGACTCCTACATAAAATGAGTCCATGTTCTCTTCCTTTTATTTAGCTTACATTTGCTATTTACTGTTCATGGACATACTGCTGTCCTCTATAGAATGGAAGCTCATTGCAGGCAAGATCTTTTGGGGGGTTTTTGTTGTTATTTTTTGGGGGTGTATACTCAACACAGTGACCGATATATAGTAGGTGCTTAATAAATGCTTGCTGAGTAAATACCATCAAAATATCCGTGGCAGCATTTTCTACGATAGCAAAAAACAACACAGAAACAAAGTAGGTGCCTATTAACTGGAAAATGGCTGAACAAATGGTGGGGGTAGATACTGATGAAATGTTAACTGCACTGAAAGATATAACTGATAATCAGAAAGACTGACACTAAATGATGTCAAGTGAAGTAAGGAGAACTAAGAAAATAGCACAGACAACAACAATGTAAAAGCAGGGACAGGAGTGGTGAGGAAGAAACTGAAAGCTGTGTAATTTTCAGTAACTAAGGTTGGCCCCTGAGAAGCAATGAGGAAAGCACCTTCCCCCCTTCTTTCCTTGTAGATATGTGGGACTATCGGTGCAGAAATGTTGCATGAAGATGTCAGAGGTCACAAAGGTAGATTTATTTTGCATAACTTTCTTTGTTACAAAAGAGGGCTCACTATGTGAAAATGAGTAATATTTAAAAAATCAAAAATTTTAAATAATTAAAAATGAACATTTAAGACATGGCAGGATATTTTGCAGAATCCCACCATTTTCAGAAGCACAGAATAACTCAATTAATAGATTGGGGTTATTAGCAGGCCAGTCAACACTGTTTTTATTTGACTTTTGTGCCTTAATGATATGGGTGGATTTAAATAAAGCTAAGAAGCTATACTTCACCAAAAAGTATTTCTTTAAAAAGCTACACTTTACAGAAAGTTGTAGAATACATGTGGACTAAATCCTAGACTTTTAAGAAAAAAAGGAAATAATATCTTCTAACTTAATTTGAAATAGACATTAAATCTTTACTCAGAACACTGTCAAGCATGGTTTATCTCTAGCCTGAGTACTTTTTTAAAAAATCTCTCCCAGAAGTGTAAGAGCCTCTATGATAAAAAAAAAAAAAGACCAGTACTCTTTCTGTGACGCTAAGTTCTATCACACCAACCTTCGAAGGATTCTCAAAGTAGACTTGGAGTTAGGAAGACCTGAGCTTGAATCCTACTTCAGGCACACATGAGCTAGAGATGACCCTAGCCAAGTCACTTAACTTATGGGGATAAAATAAGCTAGCATATATAAAGTGCTTTGCCAACCTTAAAGAACTACATAAATGCCAGCCTTTATTAACTAATGATAGACTTGTAGAATTTGGATTTAGAAAAATTAAGGGAAATTTTCTTTCTCAATTCAATTCTTCTGACTTCTAACAACCGGTACATGTAAGAAACCTCCAATACATGACCCTGGACATATCATTAGTATTACATTTTATATACACACACACACACACACACACACACCACACACACACACACACACACATATATAAATAAAAATAGGGAAGCTTCAATCTACCTTATAGGCTATTATAAGGGAAAAAAAATTAGATGAGATATGAAAGTCTTTGAACAGGTTTTTGTTGTTAAGATATTACCAAATACAAATCAATAACATTAATTAAGGGAGGCATGATATTATTGAATTCAATACGTATTCTACTATAAATGGATTAAGGGGCTTCGCAGGGACTGGGGTAGAGAAAACAGGATTAAGTGCAGTAAGGCACCTCTTCAAGGAAAGAGATTGCTACTTGAATGATGGTAACCTTGATTAAAACAAAGTCAGAATTCAAGGACAAGCCATCTGCCTTCAAATCTTTCAATTATTTTAGGCAGGAAATAGTAGAAATTCCATGAATAACATGATCAAAGTATGATCATTTTCCATTCTGGCCCTTCTTCTCATCCTGGCCTTGCTTTCTTCTTTCCGGAGGTGATGGTGTCAGATGGAGGTCTAGCCTTCCAGAGAAAGAAAACCAACAGACTAGGTTTAAGAAAGAGAATTTCCTGTGATTTACATGCTAAATACTTCACTACTTTAGTTAAGATTAATTTATGTCACTAATTTACAAGTTAAGGTTAAGGTTAGGGTTAGTCTCATCACGTTGATAGCTACTGCATTATAATACCTTCTAGAAATGAAATTACCCGTCTAAAATCTTCCTTTAAAAATTGGGGGGGGGGGCGCAGCTAGGTGGTGCAGTGGATAGAGCCTTGGAGTCAGGAGGACTTGAGTTCAGAAAGCCTTAAACATGACACTTACTAGCTGTATGACCCTGGGCAAGTCACTTAACCCCACTGCCTCACCAAAAAAAAAAAATCCTTTGTTCACCACAAAGACAACAAGAACTTAATAAAACTAAAAAACTAAAACATATATATATATACATACACACACACACACACACACACACACACACACACACACACACATATACATATATGGAATCTGACCAAAAAGAATTGCTCTAGTTTTAAAGAAAAAGCAGAAGCTGGTTTGACTTAAACACTAGTACTTTTGCTTTGGGCCAATTAAAGAAGTTGTGAATAATTACATGTATACCTAAGACCCATCTAAAAATCACACATTCCTGTGAAGCACCTAAACTTTTAATCCCTTTAAAACCAATCTGCTTTCTATTTGGATTTTAATATATTGTTTAGTAGATTTGGTGAAATTTTCCAATTATCCATGAATTTCTATACAAGATAGAAATGAATCTCCCTTGCTTTTTTCCTATTTTGAAAAAGTTTTCAAATGTCATCTTCCTTCTAAAAACAGCTATGCTGAGATCTCTGGAAAACATGTTTACAAACAAACCCAAAAAATTCTATCTAAAACTGTCCCTAAGACAGAAGGGTCATGAAACCTTAGGGCTAGAAGGAACTCCAAAAATCATTTAGGGCTCCAGTGATTTCGCTGCAAAAGTCCTGCACTCACAGTCAGATGTGCATGTGAATCCCAACTTCTACTATTTACTTCTCTCACTAAGACTCGTGGGAAAGTCACTCTTCCCCTTGCCATGACTTAATTTCCTCATCTATAAAAGGAGGGGAATGGTGTACGTGGACCTTCCAGCTCTGAATTCTACAAAACATTTTCATCTGAGCTTTTTTGACATTTATTTTTCACTCCACATTTTTCCATGAAGACATCCAGAGCCAGCTTGAACAAACACATGATACTAAAACTATAGAAGAACAGGCAAATCCCTAGGTCATTAAATACTTATACCACTACAACCTTTACCAATCAACTTAATCACCTTTTGATCAATTCAAACTGACAAAAAAAAATCTAATTTGGCCACAATTTCTGACTACATCACAATGTGATTGAAAACTTTTAACTGGCTTCTGACAACATTATGCATCAGCTTTGGTCTCAACTACTTACTACCATTCCGTTCTACGACTCCTTTCTTTCCCGAGGAGTACTAGGGGAAGGGTAGGATGGTATATATTTGTCTTCCGTCCTGGTTTGTTTGTAACACACCTCCAAAGAAAGACGTGTTGCTTTGATTATGTCACTTCTACTGATCAAAACCCAAACTTCTTAGCCTGGTATTCAAAACTCTCCATTCTTGGACCCTAATCACACTCCTACTACTCCTCTACATAAAATTGGCAGTCAAATCAAACTTCTCTTTACTGCCCTCTTATGTGCTGGCTGAATGGTATTGCAGAAGGAACCCTGGACTTAAAATCAGAACTGGCTCCAGTAACTTACCACTTTAGCTAAGTCATTCACTAACTCTTTTTAAGCCTGAATTTCTTCAATGATAAAATATTGGTAATACTCTCATTGCTGAAGTCACAAGGCTGTATTAAGGGTCAACTGAGATGGAGGTAGTGGAGGAAGAAAAAAAGGAAATAATGAGAAATCTCCCAAGGTGATGAGGAAGGTGGAAAAGGTGAAGCTTCAGAGTGATGTTTTAACAACTAACGTACCAGTAGTTGCGCAGGATTGTTTTAAGGGGTCCAGTGAAGGGCCCTACACAATTACTTGTGCTCTGTATCTTTACAACACATCCCTTTCTGGATCTTAAACAGGTTAGAACCAGCTCAAGTCACGTGAAAAAAAGAAATTGGCTTTGCAGAGATAAGATAATTAGAGGTAGGTGACCATCCCAGTAAAAGGTAGAAATCTGAAAGGAGATTCAAAATATACTTAGGAAATCTGAGTGTAAAGAATGTTGGGGGAAAAATAACTAGTTTTTAAAGAAATCATTTCCAATACCAAGAGAAATGAGCCTTTCATGATAGCAAAGAATTGGAAACAAAGTAGATGTCTAGTGACTGGGAATGTGTAAACAAATTATAGTACACAGACGGATCTCACTGTGCTCTATGAAATGAATACGATGAATAGAGAAGCATGGATAGATCTACATGAACTGATGCAAAACAAAGCTAAGTTAAGAAAACACATTCGTTAATTATAACAATGGAAAAGGAATGAACATCCTCAAGACAAGGAAAAGGAAATGCTGCAAAAAGACAAAAGACAAGCTAAGGAAGAGAAGAGAATCCAACCCCCATCCCTTTGCGAGGCGGGAAGGTCCATGGGTAAGGCACACGGTACGTATTTTCAGACTTTTTCAATCTATAATATTGGTCACTTTTGCTATTTCCCTTCTTTTATCTTTTTTCTTTAAAAACATTTATATGGGATTGCTCTCTGGCAGAAGGGGGGGAAGTGGGGGGGGGAATTTGGGTTATTATAAAGAAAGATATCAATAAAAATTATTTTTAAAATAATGGTAAATGTCTTTTAAGAGAACAACCAAGGTCCAAGCACACTAGATTGCTCTCCTATGCTAACTGTTTAGAATACAGATGAGAATCAAACAAAAAGGGACGCCATGAGGATTATTGGAGGGGATTTTCAAATGGACCAAATCATAGCTCAAGGAGTAAACAAAGTTCAAGAAAAAGTCTGTTTTTTCCCCAACTGCCCCTCCAGGTAGCTACTGACATACACTGTAATACGATTTACTACTTCATTACCAAAGATGTTTCTGGTAATCTAAATTTTGCCTTAACCAAAGAGCCCAAGGGTAAACTAGGGATAAGTATAAATAAAGACTGAGGCAGAAAGCCAAACCTCTGTCTATATTTCAGTAAGTAGAGGTTCAAAGTGATTGTGATTATACTCTTAACTTTTCACCTAAAATAAACTCCTAACAAGCAGCAGAGAAAGGGACCGTGTTAACCTGAGGGGCCATTACACTGCCCTAGACTCAAAAAGAGCTAATTATTATAACAAGATGTATTACACCTGTATGAAGTTCAATCCTAAGACTTTGTTTTGGGCTGGATGTGACTCAAGACAGTTTCCCCACAGTTTAGGTTAAATACTGGATCAAGATGAAATACTCATAAATTAATCAATTGTTAACAAAAAAATCAATCAACTCTTTACAAAAGGAGATTTAATCACTCATAGCAGGAGGAGGATATTTAACAATCAATCACAGAGGACACTTAGCACCTTCTGGCCGCTTTGTAGGAAGGAGACCAGGAAATGATACCTGGAGCTTGAACCTCTAGTCCTCAGAGCCAACCAAGGCTCACTCCTGTTCTCAACACTCTTTAAAGCAAAATTAGCCTAACTTCTAAGAAGGGTATTGTAGACTAGAGTGCCTCTCAAGCTATACCCTCAGTTCAGATTCAATGCTGGGAGAAAATGAGGCACTCATGAGTCATTGTACACTTAACAAAGGAGATTTACTTTGTCCTAGCACTTTGGAATCAGCCCCACTCATCTCCATCTGGAAACTTGTCTAGTGAGTCATCAGGCAAACTATAGTCTATTGCAACCCACCGAGTCAGAAAGGGGTACAGTCCACATGGTTTGGCCTTTTTATTGGCCACAGAAACCTGTACAGCCACGGGGGGGGGGGGGTTCACCTATTGCTCCTACTACGGATAACCAGAACAGATTTTAGTGATTCTATTCAAGAGCTGTCCTAAATCCAATCTCTACTCTGCAGTCCTTCATTCATCTTGACTGCACAACTGTGAAAATTTAACCTCTTAAATAGTTTTAAACTGATAATAAAGAATACTAAAAGTACTTTTCCATATATTCATTTCAATGGTCCTATTCATATCACAGCACTAGCCTTTAAAAACAATTACATTAACAATTACATGAGTTCATTTTTAAGTTTAAAATAAAAGCACTATGTATCTGTTGCTACAACCTTCATTTTGCAGAGTTAAAAGAAAATACCAGAAATTATCAAGACCTTAGAAAAAATGAAAAATGGCAGGTTCACAATTCAAGTCCAGGTCTTGTAACTCCAAATCCAGTAAAATTTAAACTTCACTGCACCCAACTTAAAAATTAGAATAATTGTCAGTTTGAAAATTGACTGTTTTCTTTGACATTTCTATTGGAAAGACAAATATATCAGTACATTCTCAATATATACATATGATATGTAATGAAGGGGATTCTGTGGAAAGATATAATTGTTTCTGGCTTTTGAGAGCTACTGATTTTAATTTTAAAAAGTTGAAACCACAAGTGACTGTAAAAATGCCCAAAACACAAGAGAAAAATTTCTAAGTTTTTTGTTGTTTTGTTGTTGTTCAACTCTTTGTGACACCATTTGGAGTTTTCTTGGCAAAAATACTGGAGTGGTTTGCCATTTCCTTCTCCAGCTCATTTTACAGGATGAGGGTTAAATGACTTACCCAGGGTCACATGGCTAATTAAGTGTCTGAGGCCACATTTGAACTCAGGTCTTCCTGACTCCAGGCTCAATGCTCTAACTGCTGAGCCATCTCACCGCTCATGTAAATTATTTACACAGTAGAACTGGCTTGGTACTTAAGAGTATTCTAAATTGAAATTTAAACAATCATTAGTTTGTATAGATGGGCTGTAATAAAGCTAGTTGAACTTAAATATTCTGATTGGTATGTCAACTATAGGTATACAGAGGATT